TAATGATAGGTCCTGGCCTTTTCCATACCGGGGGGCTTTTCTTTTTTCATACATATAAAAGCAATTATTTGATTGTCTGAGCCAGTTATTGTCAATTGTCGTTTTATGTTTCTTTTACCAGTTTCTGTTTCTCCCTTCTTCTTTTTTTTGCTTTTGTGATTACCTAATATGCTTTTTTTCTGCTCAGATCTTGAGTGCGTTTTCACAATCATGTGCAACCTTGTCAAGAAGCCTGAGAGCTTGGACCAAGTACATGAGATGGCAGAGCTCATATCCGCTAAAATCATTCAACAACCCAATGATAAACCCGCATTGCGCTTGAAAATGTATCTCACTTTATGTTAATCACTTTGATTCCCTCATTTTTTTTCTGTTGTCTCATTACATTTTTTCTCATCTCTTTTCAGCTTGTTCAATCTCTACAACCTGTTGGAGAACCCATACAGCCGTTTCTGCGTTTACTTGAAGTCCCTCAATTTGGCCACTGCCGGAAAGGTTATTGAACACATTTTGCCATCCTTCAAAAAGATGGATAACTTCTTGAAGGAATGGAATCTTGGAGTCAAAGATCAGAGAGAGCTGTTTCTTGCAATCTCCAACATTTTAAAGGAAAACAAAGGGTAAGATGGGAGTGACTTCTTTTTTGGACTATTTAAGCTTATGATGGTGCCTTTTTCTCATACTCGTGCATATTTGCAGCTCTACAAAAGATTCTTTCATGTTTCTAACAAAGTATCTGGAAACCTTTTCATCTGAAGATGCTTCTAATATGAACGAGGCTAAGGAAGAAGCTGCCCGCGCAATTGTTGATTTTGTCAGATCACCTGATATGTTTAAGGTATTTCTATATTAAAGTGCTCTCTCACTCTAAACAACTGAAATGGACAAGAGGTTTGTGACTTGCTCTTAAATTGCACAAACAACACAGATAGACTTGTCCAAAAATAAAAACACAAAAGAAAAGCTGTCCACAGTAATTTAATCCATCAGGGCTCCTTAATGTGAACAGAAGTCTGACATCCTATTGTTTAGATCAGTGAAAGGCTTGTCAAATAACTGATCCGATTATTTTAAATTCTCAATTTTCCAAGCTTTCTCGCTGATATTTGATGCAATTGGTGTTCTGTGGTATCACCATTCCACGCATCACAGTTAACCAGAGTGCTTTACAATATAAGCCAGAATGACGTGATTAGTATATTACAATGTTAATTTTTTTGACTTTTCTGGATGGAGCTGTTCGAATTTGCTATTGCTTGGCTGCCACTACTGTAGAGTAGACCACTATATGGTCAGAATGAAGACCTATCGGAAAAGAATTGAAGTTGTATGCCTTATGCGTTCTTGTGTTCCATAGTTGATTTATGTCGTTTCAATATGGCAGTGTGACTTGCTAGATATGCCGGCTATAGCCCAGTTGGAGAAAGATGCTCAATATGGTCCAGTATATCAACTTCTGAAGATCTTTCTCACTCAGAGGCTGGATGCTTACTTGGATTTTGAGGCAGCAAATTCAGCATTATTAAAAACCTATGGTAATGTACTTACCTTTGTACAGATCAAGCCATCAATTTAGAAGGGGCTATGGCCTGAAACTTTTGGTTGATGTTGTAGGACTTGTCCATATTGACTGTATATCAAAAATGAGGTTGATGTCGTTGGTAGATCTTGGCTTGAATGAATCTAGTCAAATTCCTTATTCTGTCATCAAACAGGCATTGCAGGTACATTTCTCATCTTTATTTTGTTTGTTGATGTTTCTGCTCTGCATGTAGCTCATTTGGTCTTTTGCTCTTTTCAGATTGATGACATTGAGGTAGAATCGTGGGTTGTTAAGGCAATTACAGCTAAGTTACTTGATTGCAAGATTGATCAAATGAATCAAGTAGTAATAGTGAGGTGTGCTCTCTATAGTCAGCCTTCCTTTACTGTCTCTTCTGTCCGCTGGAGATTTCTTTTAAAAAAAAATTCCTGTGATTCGTAGTTGCATTAATTGTTTGGTTGTCATTGTGTAGCCGTTGTACGGAGCGTGTGTTTGGTGTGCATCAGTGGCAAGAGCTCCGCACGAAACTAGTGACTTGGAGGGTAAATAATTATTTTTCTACCTAGCTCTAACAGTAATCAATCTGGTTTATGCTGACTTACTAGCGGTGTTCAGGAAAGCGAGCGCTTCATCGCTTTAAGCGATGAAGTGAAGCGATGCGAGCCTTCTACGCTTCACAGACTAGAATGAGTATGTGAGCGCTTCATCGCTTAAAGTGTGAAGCGGGGCCTTATCGCTTTTTTCTGCTTCACGCTTCCCTGAACACTGCTTACTAGAGATGTTTCCCTCTCAGACGCCTCCAAAGCATGCTCCTATATTTCTTCTGCCCAAAACACGAACACAAATTAGTGCAGCACGCTGCTTCCACACAACATCTTTTCAGATGCTCGTTCATTTTCATTCTTATTTGTAATGGGTCGTATGCTTGTATGATTTTGACTATTGTCTACTCTTTACAGGGCAACATTGCAGGTGTTATCAGCACAGTTCAAGCCAATAAAATTACAGAAGATAGCACACAGGCAATGCAAGGTTTAGCAATCCGCTGAATGTTCTTTGTGGCAGTCTCTTTTTAATTTTAGAGATTGGATTTAATTGGGAGAAATTGTTCACATCTTTTTCAGCTTGAAATTTTGATCATCTTTTTTTTTCTTTGGGCAAAAATATACTATTTGTTAACTTACAGTAGCCATTTTTCCTTTGTCCGTGGAGGTTTCGGGCTGTATTTCTATGTGACGACTGTTTTTTGCTTTGTACTATTAAGTTGACTCCAGTATTTGGAAATAGGTTTTGGTGCCCTACAAATTCACTTGTTAGGATATCATAGCAGAAGGAATTCCTTACAGGCTGGAATAATTCACACTCTTAATCAATTCTCGTTCTGATTAGGTGTGTTGTGATTCGGCACAAATGTCGCCTTTTGGTGAGTCTCTCAAATTCGGTTCATCATTATCCTGCAATATCTTTTGTGAAAACTAATTACAATTTGTTGAGCGAAGTAAAAACTGTATTCAAGTCGGTGATTAATTTTGTTAAGAGCGTCGATCTAGTCCAGATCCATGGTCAAACTTCAAAGTTTAAACAGGTCCAAGGTTATTACAGTGGCGGGTTTTTTTAATATAGTCAGTGTTGGTCAATCGTTTTGCATAAAATAATGTTTTTTGAATGTGAAATTGTAGATGTAGTCAAAAGTGAATGAGGCGGACCTACCCTTACAGTAGGGTTCATGGATATCCAATGTAGGCATATTTATCTTGAATCGTGTATATATTTTTTATGATCATTCCCAAGTTAAAGTGGAATCTATCTTTTATATTAAAGAAGATAGTAATGGTTCCAACACCTTCAATTTCTGGATCCGCCTTTGGTTGAACTCATTGTACCCTCTCCGGATCCAAATCCAAATCCAACCGTCTACACTTTTTAAGACGACTCCATAGGTAGTTGAGGTTGACCATACATAGCTGGTGGATGCTGGGGTTTCCACTAAATGAAGGTAGGACATAGGACATAGGACAAACAAAGACTATCAAGTCAACTAAGGAAAAAAGGTGTCCATTCATCTCTTATCCCATGGTGTGGGCATTAACTGTATCAGCTCACATCTATTAGGAGTCTATTTAAACAAAACATCAAAGTGAGAAAGGAATAGTAACTCTATCAATTCTTGTAAAAACAAATTCCAATATAATATATACCATGGAAAGGAAATGTTACAAGAAGATGACGACGATGCTCGTTGTGCTACTTGTAACCATAATAAAGGTGCAAGATGTAATTGCGGCATTAGAATGTAATGGGACAAGCAGCAACATAGGTGATTGTATTGGAGATGTTGATGAATTCTTGATGGAATCAGAAACAAGCACTATGATTCTTGCTGGCAAACATCTATCTATAAACGCGCCGGGGGATACAGCAAAGATATGTGAGGAATCAATTTACGGTAATTGCATCGATAATCCGAACGTTGTGGCAACACGCTGCAACTATGGTACCCGCTGCAATCGTGAAATATCCTAGTAAATATTTATGTACAAGTCTCCAAGGGCATCGTTTGCTTTACTTGAACCAATAATATCTTCTCTTGTTGAAGAAACTACTTGTTTTTACATTTTGTATAAATATTGTCTCTTGAGTACTAAATTGATTTTATCTTAACAGAATGCTTTAGTATGTCTCCAGTTCAATAACTCGATTAGAAACATCAGAAACAAAGCACTCACCAAAATCATCACTTTCAGACAACATGGTAGAAATGTATAAACATATGTGATTCTTATTACATATATATGTAAACGCAATTATAGCCATAAACTGCATAAACAGCACACATAGACTTTGGTTCTTTGTGGCAGGGTCTATATGTAATTGTAGATATCGTCGAAAGTGAATGAGTTTAGTTGAATTCAAAGGCGGACCGCGGACCTACCCTCTAGGGTAGGGGTCCATGGATAACTTTGTACTATATTTTTTTATAAGCACTCCTAGCGAACAAAGGTAAAGTGGTTTCACTAGTTGATTTGGGGATATTTAGTAGGCTTACTTGGATTCAATTTTCCACATTTTAAATCTTTGGCATTTTAGTAGTTACAAGTTACAACTCAATTTTAGTTTCCATAAAGTTACACCTCAAGCTTTGTAGTAAGTAAGTGACATATCTATATTATTTGAATTTTTTTAAATTAAAATATTTATATTAAAGCTAGTGATGATTCAGACATTTTTTAAATTTCTGGATCCGCCTCCACTCTAGATCCAAATCCAACCGTCTACACTTTTAAGCCGACGCCATTGTCGACGGTTGAGGTTCACCATACATAGCTGGTGGATGGTGGGGTTTCCACTAAATGAAGGTAGGACATAGGAGTCAACTAAAGAAGAAGTGTGTCCATTCATTTCTTATCCTCCCAGCGTTAAAAGCGGGTGGGCATTAATTGTACCAGCTCACATCTAATAGGACTATTTAAACAACAAACACCAAAGTGAGAAAGGACTAATAACTCAATCAATTTCTTGAAAAAAACAAAATCCAATATACAAATATTAATATGGGAAGAGAATTGTACAAGACGACGAGGATGATGATGCTCCTTGTGCTGCTTGTAACCGTAATAAAGGTGGAAGCGGTATCAGAATGTAATGGGACAAGCAGCAGCATAGGTGCTTGTCTTGTAGATGTTGATGAGTTCTTGATGGAATCAGAAACAAGTACTAGGATTCTTGCTGCAGGTGGTAATGCTAGATCACAAAAATTATCTTACGGGTCCGCGGGGAAGAAAGCAGCCATATGTAATGAAAAAATTTACGGTAATTGCATCAATAATAAGAACGTTAAGGCAACACGCTGCAATTCTGGTACCCGCTGCAAACGTGATGTAATATCCCATTAGTAAATATTTATGTACAAGTCTCCAAGGGTATCAACTACCTCTTTGCTTTACTTGAACCAATAACATCATCGTCTACTCTTGTTACTTGTTTTTACATTTTGTATTTATTGTCTCTTAAGTACTAAATGCTTGATTTTTATAGTACTAGTAAATTGAAAGTGTTTCGTTTTAACAGAATGCTTTATTATGTCTCCAAAGTATTACTGTGATTTTCATTAGTATTTTGGTTGAAATAACAATATACGCTGAAAAGGTATTAATAATAACTAAGATTATTTCCACTTAGTTGTACACGATTGAAAACATGAGCAACAAAGCGCTAAAACAAATCGTTTCTTAATGTCTCTGTTTCGCATTTCTGGTATAAGCTAGCTCAAAGAGGAACTGCTTTTATTTTACTCATTTTCAAAAAAATTGTCAAGCCAGACCTCATTTGTTTTCATTAAGATGTAAATATCTAAATTTGAAAACACATCTGAATGATTAATATGTTGTCTCTCGATCTGAAACTTTAAATGATTAAGGTTGTTATCTTACCAAGTATAGTTGATTGTATGTGTTAAGTTATAAAAGTTGTGTAAGAAGTTCGACTATTCCAAGTGCATTGAAGCCAAAAGTTTAAAAGGTCGATTGTCATAGTTAGTGTGTTGAGAACAAATCTAATGAAATTCAGTTGAAACTTACGGAATTTGCTTTAAATCGCGTCAAAGGATACTGAAGTTTTTACAATTGAAGCAGGGAGGATGCAATGTACATGCTGTTGGAAAATGCAAGAGGGTATCTCAAAGAAACTGTCCCTCATACATTAAAAAGAACTTCTTCTTTCACCTAATTAACAATTGCCAACCAGGAGACTAATTATACACTACTCCGTTAATTCACTTTTATTTGTCCACTATATTAAAAATATATTTTTATTTCTACTTATCACTTTTAACATATCAATAAAAAAAACATATTTCCCCCCTCATGTTTTACCATCAATGGTAATTACTTACTTATTCCCAAACTAAAGTTAAAACATGAGGCAAAAGATAGTAAAAGTGATAGGTGGGAGTATTTGCTTTTGTGTCACCAAGTAACATCGCCAGAAATAGGAAGACCAAAACATAAAAATCAGAGGAGCAATGTAACTTTGAGTGTGGGCCAAATTTATTTTTGGTAGCAGACATAATCAATGCTGTAAGAATAGACAGTGTGAGAAAGGACACACAATGCGTGGTAGCCGGTAGAATATTAACTATTGCAATAAACATGAAAGTTGGTGAGTGATGGCTTTTTATGGCCTTGAAAATATCTTTCATGTTTGAAATTATTTGCTTCATATATATCTACTGTATTTTGTTATATCTGAATACCCATATAATTCCAAGTTCATCATATCTTTGTGTAACCAAGTTTATCCTTGTCTAACTTATCTAAATTCGCACCACGTAGAGCTCATTCGTCAAAAATAGCGCTCCTTATTAAAAAAATTCAATACTAACAACTCAAAACCAAAACAAGAGAAGCAACCCATCCACCCCCATCACATCTTTGGTGGTGTGTAACCATACTAGTTACAACCTCCTTTGTGGACTTTCTTCTTTACATCTTCTTTTATGGTTTTCTAATACTTTGTGGTCTAAAATTTAAAATCTATTAAATGTACAAAAAAAATCCTTTTATCTAATGGTATTAAACAAGTCATGTTGAAATCAAGAAGTTGATAAAAAAGTTAAAGCAATGAGTCATTCTTTTTTTTGAAAGTACTAAAATGGAAAATAGATCAAACAAATTGAAACAAAAGTAATATTTTTAATATTGTTTTTGTTTTTGTTTTCATTGGTGTCTGGAGCCCACATTGGAGCCCCGACTAAATTTGGATCGCGCATTGCAAGGCGCATTCGAGGGTGGCGCTCCCAACAAAATTTTCTCCATACCCAGGGCTCAAACTCGAAACCTCTGATTAAGGATGAAACATGTTGGTACATTGTTTTCAAATATATAAATTTTGTTTCAACAAGCTTAGAGCATCAATGTCCGAATTCACATTTTAATCTCAAAATTTTAACTATATCAGATGTATTTAACAGACAAGTGTAGAAAAATAATTTGATTACAAAAAAATTCAAAGAGAGCTTATTATAGTATCTGAAATTATTTAATAATCATAAAAAATACTAGCAATGACTAAAGAAGAAGACTGGGTCAACTTTGGCATATGAACCACAGATAAAAGAAGATGAAATGCCTTGAGAGTCAACACTCAAGTCTTGCCAATGGTTGTGTATAATTATTCCTTGGAACAACTAATATCTCCTTACACAAACGCCCATGGCAACCATTACTCTACTTTTCTTTCTCTTATTACAACTCATAACGGCCACTATTTCTACCACGCCGCCACCGTATAACGCCACTGTCTTTGTCTTGCTTAACTGTGGCGCACAATCAGCCACCACCGATGATACTGACCGTCGATGGGATACTGATACTCACTTTCCAAATTTCTTACCTTCCAACTTTACAAGCATATCCACAACAGCCACAGCTTCTGAACAAGATCCTTCGGTCAATAGAGTTCCTTATACAACTGGTGCTCGTATTATGAGATCTCAATTCACCTACACTTTCCGTGTTACCCCTGGCACAATATTCCTCCGTCTCTATTTCTACCCTGCCAATTATTCCGGCTTCGACAAAGCTGAATCTTTTTTCTCCGTCACAGCTAATCATTTAACCCTTTTGAGTAACTTCAGTGCTTTCCTCACAGTCTCCGCAAGTAGTAGAAAACAAGTTCAAAAAGAATATGTCATCAATGTTGATGAAACTCAGATACTCAAATTAACCTTTTCTCCTTCACCAAATTCTTATGCTTTTGTTAATGGGATTGAGATACTTTCTATGCCAACTGATCTTTACATCCATGGAGACGTAAAATTGGCTGGGAATACTAATCCATATAACATCAATAACAGCACTGCTCTTGAAACTTTGTACAGGCTGAACGTGGGAGGATATTTTGTTGGTAGCACAGAGGATACAGGGATGTATCGTGTATGGGATTCAGATGATGCATTTGTTGTTGGATATGGCTATCAAACTCCTCATTTTGATGATGCCAGCATCACTTACACTCCTAAAACCCCGGCTTATACTGCGCCAACCATAGTTTACACAACCTCTAGGACTATGGCCAATTACAGCCCGGGACTGGATTGGGAATTTCCTCTAAACTCTGGCTTCTATTATCTTTTCAGGCTCCATTTTTGTGAGATTCAGCCGGAAGTTAAAGAAATAAACGATAGAAGTTTTTCCATTTCTATCGGAAACCAAACAGCAGAGCGAGAGGCTGATGTAATACAATGGAGTGAAGGCTGGAGAATCCCTGTGTACAAAGACTATGTGGTTAATGTTAGAAACCAAGATGGTGAGCAAAACGTGACCCTTGCTTTGAGTCCTAACCCAAATTCTGCGTATCAAAATGCTATCTTAAATGGCTTAGAAATTTTCAAGTTGAACGACTCAAATGGAAACCTCTCCGTGCCGAATCCTGAATTTTTCTTTCCGAATAATTCACCACCAAACAACAATAATAAGAGATCATCATCACACATCATTGCTGTTATCACTGCAGTGGCTGTTATTAGCGGAATTGCTCTGCTTTCAATTCTCTGTTTCTTAATTTTCCGGCGGTGGAAAAGAGGAAAAGAACTTCATACAAGCGTTACAAAGTCATCATGGATCCCTTTGTCAATTACATCGAACTCAACCCAAAGAACCGGCGGTTCAGGCTCATCAGCGCTACCATCCGATCTGTGCCGACACTTTTTACTAGAAGAGATAAAAACAGCAACATGCAATTTTGATGAAAAATTTGTGATTGGCTATGGAGGTTTTGGTAATGTATACAAAGGGTACATAGACAACGGCGCAACCATAGTTGCAGTCAAGAGATTGAATCCTTCATCAAAGCAAGGAGTCCGCGAGTTCGAAACAGAGATTCACATGTTGTCAAAGCTAAGGCATGTGCATCTGGTGTCCTTAATTGGTTATTGTGATGATAACAGTGAGATGATCTTGGTTTATGATTACATGTCTCATGGAACTCTTCGTGATCACTTGTACAAAACTGATAATGCTCCACTTCCATGGAAGAAACGCCTTGAGATTTGCATTGGCGCAGCAAAAGGATTGCATTATCTCCATACAGGTATACGGTCACTTAATTCTATACTTCTATTTACTCTGGTACCATATTAAAGTATGTATTGAGTAAATTAAGTGATTTACTGGTAAAAAAGATAAAGATTAATTATTTTAATATAATAAGTTATTATTATCTATAGTAGATATGATCGTTAAATTTAATTTCACAGGTAAAAAGGATATCATTATTCATCGAGATGTGAAGTCAACCAACATTTTATTGGATGATAAATGGGTTGCTAAGGTTTCAGATTTTGGGTTATCCAAAATTGGTCCACTTAGTGGATCAGGAAAAACCCATGTTAGCACTGTTGTGAAAGGAAGCTTTGGATATCTAGATCCTGAATACTATAAGCGACAACAATTGACAGAAAAATCTGATGTGTATTCTTTTGGGGTGGTGCTATTTGAAGTGTTGTGCGCTAGACCAGCATTAATTCCTAACATGCCGAAAGGGCAAGTGAATTTGGCTGATTGGGCTTGTAGGAGCTGTAAAAAAGGAAATCTTCAACAAATAATTGATCCGAATTTGGAAGGACAAATTGCGCCAGAGTGCTTAAACAAGTTTGCAGAAGCAGCATATAATTGCTTGAAGGATCAAGGAGTCCAAAGGCCATCAATGAATGACGTTGTCTGGAATTTGGAATTTATATTAAAGCTTCAAGATGCAGCTGATAATAGAGGTCACAAAATGGAATTGAACAGTTATCCGACTAGCCCGTCTTTCCCCTTGATTATGAATGGTCATGGTCATACCAATATATCTACAGATGAAGGATTCGAGGCATTTTCAGGTTCACATGAAGTTGGAGGAAAATACACAAGCAGTGCTACATCCATGACCAGTAATAGTGATGACAAATTGAAGAGTGACACTATTTTCTCAGAGATTTTGAATCCATCGGGTCGATGAGATTGTTACAACTAGTATGATAAATTACATATTAGTTCTTCTCTGTTTTCTTTTTCCTTTGTTGAATTTATGT